TTATACAGACAATGCTTGGATTTTTTCAGGGCCGGATTTACCTACTTACCGCCCATGGGCCGCTAGAATTTTGCCGCCCCCTCCTCATTTTTTTGAAACATCAATGAAAACCATCAAATGAACGTTCCAGCTGGGGAGGGGTGCATAAGAGGCATTTACTCGTGTTGAACACATTTTTTAGGAAAGCTCTGTCAACACTATTGGTAAAAGTTCACGAAACTTTGCGCAAAAGTTAAGTTCCGTAAACCTATCTCTGTGTGGACAAGACCTTTCATTCATAAGAAATGAACGAAAAAATGGGCCTGTTGCAAACTTTTGCTAGAGCAAAAATAAGAGTTGTTTCTTATAGATAATGCCTCAAAAATCACGATGAGCGCATCGGCAAAGTCTGAAATGCACTCATAACTTCACAATCTGCGTAAGAAATTTGCGTTTTTTTAAGCTTCCCGCTTCAAAAACGATACTACGGCATAGGTGAACATTTTGTTAGAGGAGTCGCTCCATCGTCGGCGATATTCATCATGGCCGACGCTTGCACGCAGTTCCGCGCGTAATTCAAGGAGAGTTCAAGGACAATCAATTCGGGCGTGGAAAATATGAACGTTAACACACCGATTGTTATCTGGTCTAATCCAGTTCAGGTGTTATCTCGTCCCATCAAACGTGTTTTGGCGGATTGGCGTCGGCTATGATGATTATTGCCGACAATGGAACGACTCCTCTTACAAAATGTTCACCTGTGCCGTAGTATCGTTTTTGAAGCGGGAAGCTCAAAAAACCGCAAATTTCTTACGCAGTTTGTGAAGTTATGAGTGCATTTCAGAGTTTGCCGATGCGCTCATCGTGATTTTTGAGGCATTATCTATAAGAAACAACTCTTAGTTTTGCTCTAGCAAAAGTTTGCAACAGGCCCATTATGAAAGAACAAACATTAATGTGGATTAATGATTTTAACTTCCGCCGCCGCGCCTCGCAGACCGCACTGTGTTTGACGCAATGCGTGAAGTATTCACGCAGTCTTGTAGGTGCTATGCGTCTCACGCTGATCACACTGTGTTTGCCGCAATGCGTGAGGTATTCATGCATTCTTGTAAGCGCTATCCGTTTTACGCTCTCCGCAGTGACCGCACTGTGTTTGATGCAATGCGTGAGGTATTCGTGCAGTCTTGTAGGCGCTAATATGTGTTACATGCCGATCGCCGCGCCGCGCCGAGGGCTTCTCATTTTCATCTCAAGTCCTCATCATTTCTCTCTTCGTAAGTCGCGCCATTCCAGGCCAAATTTCGTGTTTGGTCTCTCTCTTAACTCGACTAATTAAAGGTGCTGTCTCTTGTATCACTGAAAGACGACAAAAGTAGAAATTACTATACTCACAGAAAATTAGAGATTTTGTCGCCTTTTCTCGTTTGTAATTTTTTTCTAAATCCGATTTTTTTTATACCTACATTTAAAAAAAATTGCAAAATTTGCCGCCCTCTATAGATTTGCCGCCATGGGCCGCGGCCCATGTGGCAACCCCCTTAATCCGGCCCTGGATTTTTTTCATAAAGAGGAAATACTGCCATGAAAGGAAATCTTTTTGTGGATGTGATAGAGGGTGACAAAGAGAGACATACAGACGAACAAAGATGGGGTGAAGACAATCTCCATTTCTCTATTTTCTTTTGCTAGTGAGCATCTTGAATCTCTATGAGGAGGTATGTAGCTCCTATACCGAGCCAGCTACCCCTTCCACTCTCTCGGTGGTATTTTTAGAGACGGAAGTTTACAAATCAGACATCTTCACGAAAAGAAAGGAGGATGGAGGCTGAAAACAAATGATTTAAAATTATAATTACATTTATAAGCTAAGCGTTATCTGATCTGATTCAGAAATTAAAGATCGCAGCTCCACGAAGACAAGGAAGAAAGACTAGACAGTCCGATGGACCAAAATGTGTAATTGAAACGGTTGTGTAAGAAAGTAATTAAAGCGTTGAGTTGCAGAACAATACGGAGATCATAACCTACTTAATTCAGCTTATGTCGTCTCATATTAGCATCCTAAAGGGACATGTATTACTCCTCACAATGATTCATTTATGTTCTTCCTTGGAATACAAAATGGTTTTTCGTGAGATTTTTTACTTCCAAATGAACCTTCAGGTAATGCGTATGATCAATGATCATCCTACTCAAAAGTAAAAGCAAGAAAAAGGTTCACAAACCATGGGGTAAAACTTTGAGATGACTTTAAAGAGGATTTTATGTTTTATCAGAATTGGGAAACTTGCCACACATGAAATATGGTTTACGCACCAAAGCTATTTAAGAAATTCATAGACTACGAGCTCTTTAGGTATACAAAAATAACATTTATAAAGACAAATTGCGATTAATATTTAAACCTCATCTTTTAACTATCGCAAATCACTGATTGAACCAACTCTCTTTCCTAAACTGTAATCAGCACTCTCATTACTGTGGCTTCATTCCCAGTTGCTTTAGTCTTGTTCTAAGATAGGTCCGCACAAGACCGCCGTCTAATATAAACAAAATATTTTACACACTGTTTTCATTTGGTTTCATGTCTGAAGATAGTTTTTGAAATTCCATACAACTTTCGGACCTCTCATAAAATTATGTAGAAGTACACCCATCGAAAACGCGTGTATTTAATTTTGCAATGACATTTTATTTGCACACCGTTGACCAGCTATCGCTGACATTAATTGACTTCAATCCATGGAGAAATGCCGTTGGAAATTACTTTGGTTATTGTGTACTTGCTAGATTAGGGCCTAAATAATCCTCCATGAGCCCAGTGACGTATGTAAGGTTTTTATTCTGCATGGGGAGAAGACGCGGGCACAAAAGAGAGGTTGGACAAGAAATTTCTTGGAACGAATCTACTTGAAAGTGATAGTTCAAAGGTCTCTCGATGGTCTTCGGCTTCCTCCCAATCTCTTTTATGAGCGTTTTATGAAGTATCGCATCCATTTCTGTCTGTCAGCACCGTTGGACATCTGCGTGCTCCGAGTAAAGTCAAGAGATTCGCAATGGACATGTGCCATCGCTAAGGTGACATAACGAACATGGAAATACAAGAACACGGCGAAGAATAATAATCGATTTTCGTTACCTTGTTACTAGATCGCTCCTAATGTATCCTACTTTTATGGGCGTTCGGATAAAAAACCAAAGCAATTTTCGCGACTCCCGGCAACAAACGCTTTGTCTCGCCGTTGCTTGAAAATTTAAGAGGAAAGCGGCACGTTGAGCTCAACGGAGATGCGGACTGGAAGCCCGATTTTCAAAGTAAAATTAAGAGAGAGGCTCCGGAGTTCTGCTGTTTGTAGCGTCATGGAGCCTTTGTCATCGCGTTTTGATGGACTTCAGATGCGGCACCGCGTGGAAAAATTATACTCTCTAATTCGTGAGAAATAAGAATTTGATTTTTCCCGAAGGATAATCAACTGCAGCTCCGTATGGTCAATGCTCCACGAAATTAATGCTCCAGCTCTGGACAAAACTGTCTGGCCCGTGTGCCTGTCTATCCATGACATGTGTGTACGCGCTTCTCTTGATGAAAAACAGAGGGAAGAGAAACAAATTAGTTTCAGGATTTGAACATTGGATTTGGATTTAGTCCCAGGACATTCGCTTTGGACGCATTGAGAAACTACTTTCCCTTTTATGTTAAAAATTACTTATTTACGTAGGGTTCTTAAGAATAACAAAAAAGTTTCCACTACGCTCCCCGCAGCCTTTAGCGGAGTGGGGACTTAACTACTCTATCTCTTTTAAATAAAGCTGCGGATATCGAATCAATGAATTGGCTCTATATTTTGGATACTTAAAAAAACTGATCCTCAACATCTTAACTTTTATATGTATTACGTTCCTCTGTTTCTGATTAAATGTTTGGAGCCATACCATGGAGGATGACGAATTATTTACGAAACATGAATTACAAAATTAAATGGACGTCAGTAGTTAACTAAATAGTTTCGTGTCATTTTGGGGGTCTGCAGCACGAAATCTGTCAAAAAAGGGTTCCAATATCCGGCATGGGGATATTGCTCTGCGGAATACACACTACTGTCATTCATCGTATTTGAGATATTACCATCGTTTCTTTATTTCTGATCTCATCATTTACAGATATAGAGACATCCCCAGTGATTGCTTAAGGAGATTCAAGGGGAGTCGTAGGGTACGTGCGCCCGTTCACCCGGAAAAAACCCAAAAGTAGCCCTGAGGGGTATTCCACACCCCCTTGACCCCCGACAGGTATGGGGTCAAGGAAAAATCCTTCCTCCTTGTTTGCAATAACTGGATCCGCCAATGATTAATTATTGCCTAACGCGCATCATTGCATGAGACCAAGGTAGCAGCATTCACCAAAGGAATGGGTGATGTTATCAAACGCATCTTCAAAGGGCAATATACCCATTCATTTTGAAGATGACCCTGCGTCATGGTTTTTGACCGTTTTGCATTGAAAAATGGTGACAGAAAACATATATTCAAGTTACGTATTCAGCTCACCATTTGAAAACGCAAGTTTTGCTATGTATAACAGTTATGACACATGCGTTTATGTAATCTTTGTTTGTCTGCGAAGACAACGTTGTTATATGACAACTGTCAAGTCAGACACTCGGTAAATTTGAAATCTGTATTTTGAAGAATTGTTTCTCGAATCATCTTCCAAGGGTTCGTCGCGAAAGAGAAAGGAGAATCCGGATGAATTATCTCATTTACCGTCGTCGCAACACGTTAAACCTGAATAAGAATGTATGCGACGCAATATTTTCTCACGTCCTATACATCACTGGGTCGATCCGGTCGTTCCTCGTTCGAGCATAGGTTGAACTTAAAATTTATTTGAAAATTAATTATTAGATCCTGTGTGTTGCATCATCACTGTTGTAAAATATTTGAGTTGTCTCTATATGCATTCATGTAGACGAAGAAGCATATGCTGATATGAACATCGTCTCTTTTTTATGTTACAGAACCAAAGCAAGATGATTACCTCTCGAGTTATCAGCATTTTCATCGTGGCCCAGGTAGTACTGTCAGAAACGAAGGAGCATAACGCCATCATCAGGATTTGCGGAACAAAACTCTCCGACATGATTCGAATGATGTGCAAGGACACCGGCTTCGTGGGCCCGTTTGAGTTCAATAACTGTAAGTGATCGATAGATTTATTGATCGATTTCTTTTATTTACATCATTTGAATATATTCATGTTATCGAACACAAAATACTAAAGCACCCTAAAAACTGAATAAGAACTGAGAAAACTAAGAACTAAAGAAGTGAAATCACAAAATCATAATCATACACGGAAAAAAAAATTGCTGATTCAGCAATTCAATTGCTAAAAACAGTAAGTGCAATGTTTCAACGCAGATTTTACAACAAAAAAAATGCTACTTTAACCACCCCCGTGGTTAAATTAGTTTACAATGAGGTTAAAGTAGCATTTTTTTGTTGTAAAATCTGCGTTGAAACATTGCACTTACTGTTTTTAGCAATTGAATTGTTGAATCAGCAATTTTTTTTTCAGTGTATCAATTCAGCACTAATGGACCGCGTTTAGTAGAAAGGAACGAAGCCGCATCAACTATTGCCAAAGTCAACGAGGCAGTTTAATTTTTTACGAGGAAACGTTTGTGCGGACTCCTCTGAAAATTTTGAGGAATTTGCTTCGCACTAAGCAGAAAATTCACCGAAGTTTGCAGTAAAAATCTGCGAAACCGTTTCCATAATTAAAACTAAGTCGCCCGATTAAATTAAAAAAAAAAAAAAAAAAAAAAAAAAAAAAAAAATTAGTTAACACTAATTGGATTTAACTTTTTGTGTTTTAGCGGGAGGACGTGGAGTGGCGGATGAGTGTTGCGTATACGGATGTTCACTTAGCACGATAGAACTCTACTGCGCTGCATCCCCGACCCAGTACAGCAGCAAGTAAGTATTCTCAAAAAATCCAAGGTTTTTCTTTTAGCGGCTCTGGTGCTTGCACTAGAGCTGCTATTCCGGACGGTCCCAGCTGCATAGAATAAATAGACTACGTCAACAGAAGCGAAAGCTCCGTAAGAACCAATGTTAACATTTTTCTGCGCAGATTGAAACCAATTTCGAGGTTACCTACAAATATAAAAGTGGAAAAAAACATTAAATTTTAAGCGAATTTACAGTACTTCTTCGGTTTAACGATAAATAAGTTAAAAGAAAACTCTTACAATTCCTTAAAACGTATGTATCCGTTATTATTCGACCTCTCCAAAACCGCAAACGTAAACAGTACTTATTGAAACAGCCTCCTTTCGGTATGCTTCGTTGACATGAAAATGGCGGGGGCTTTCGCTTCTGTTGACGTTAGTCTCTTTATTCTATGCCAGCTGGGGAGTATCAACGGACCATGTTACATTGGAGAGACCGCGTGTTGGTTGATGGGAATCGGCGCCATTTTCTGCTGTTTAGGGGGGACTGATTTTATTTTAATTGATATCTTTTTCCTGTGAGCGAATGCTATGTTGTGTAGTGTATTTTTGGAATCATGGTGATACTGTCAATAATTCAAAACGGGTCTGTGCTTTAATCTCGCACTGGAAAAAATGTACTTTACGTTTAAAATTTGAAAATTCAAATCTATAAGTTTTCGCGCTTTTTTCGAAGAATGCCGTGGTTGGAGCTTCCTAGTCATACTACCCGACATCAGCTGATAGCAAACAAAGGTTACCAAGGAAACCGTAAACGCGTAACAACTACCTACCGTCGCCAGAGCCGCTTTCCGACGCGAATGCGTTGGAGCTTCCTGCTTGTTTTACTTTTTTAGACTCCTTTTCTTAGACTCTGTTTGACGGTCACGTTATTTTAGCGATCCCTAGTCGGGGTGATTTTTTTTACCGTCGCACAGTGAGTCGAGTCAATTAGAGAGGTCGGACTTGAAATTTTTAACTGAAACTGAAAATTTTGAGGTTTATTCGCCACATTTTAAATTTCAAGGGGTGCCGCTAGAAGAACAAACCAATGGAACCACTTTTAGAACCTCAAAGTTTTGTATAAACGGAGATAAAAGCGTTTTAAGTTTCCAAATTTTGTCCGATCTCTCGTATTGACTCGATCCACTGTGCGTCGGGAAAATTTGAGCTTCCCGTTAGTAAGCACACCGTAAAAGCATAGGGTATACGGCTAGATAGTTCGTATAGGTCGTTTCATTTATTCGCATCCGAAGTTTTTACGTTCGAAAAATGAATAACTGGGACAGAAATTTCTCCGATCCATGAGATTCATTGGAAAAAAAGCGTCCTAAAAACTGAATTCTGATATCATTTATCACTATTTGCGTTTTTGAAAATTCATATCTGAAGAGAAAATGGGTATCGCGGAAAATCCGCCGAAAAATATCTGGTGCTCCATAAGTTTATTTTCAGCCAACTTTGATGGGAACTTTACACGCACTTACATAACGAGAAAATTATACGCGTGATGATAACGCTAAGCAGACCGCCGGTGATAGGCGTGTTCGGAATAGAATACTTCGAAAGTCGGAGCCTGATTTTTTAAGTAGGTGGTTTTCATACATAACCTGATTTTCCTCCTAGACTCTCCGTTTGTATTATAACGACGCTCGGTAATTATCTGTTGCTAATCAATCAATGGAGAATTCTTGAAGGAAGGCTCTATTCCCCGGTAATTGTCGACTGATTAACAAAATAAACAAGGTCAAAAGTTCAAGCGAAATTTACTTCCTTGATTAACGTTGGACCTCAAAGCTTGCGGGTGATATTTTTTGTTTTGTTTTTTAAGGCGGCATCACTTTCTTTGCAACTTCAGGTCTGCGAATAAAGTAGGGATCACCCTTTGACCGATAAGCACCAGCATGAAGCACTATGTATACGTAGGCAAATATAAAATGAGCCTTTTGTATTAATATTCTGGTCAAAATTGATCAATCCGCTGGTTTTTCGCTGAAATTTTGCAAAAAATAAACTAGGATTTCGGTTGACAACCGTATTGATGTAAGGCAGTCTAGTACAAGGTGCGATTTCAAGCATTATCATACATGATACCTAACTAAAATTTTACATAAAACACCATTCGCGCAACGGAAATTATTCGAATTTCTCGTTCGCAAGAAAAACAATAGTCCACTTGAATCAAATTGCGCACGCCGACGGTTTTGAAGGACCTCTTAATCGAGCGATGTTTCCTCCCCCTCGTGTTGTCTTTGCAACTATAAGAGATATTTGCGTTTAAAAATTGTTTAAAATTAGGTTGAACTCAGCATTTTCAGTCGCAAAATTGAGTGTCATAACTATACCGCAATTACATTCATTTAGCGCATAGCCATTTTTGACCTATTGGGCCAGCTTTCAGATAGTGGAAAAGTCAAAATACGTTGAACAAAGATCCAGTGGGGCTCAATTTAATATACCATACACTGAAAAAAAAAAAAACACATTAGATCTAGATTCCAGACTATTAAAAACATCGACAAGAAAGAATACTCTTGATTCAATCAGATTTAGGCTTAAATCAAGAACCAAGCCTCTTAATGTGAGCGGATTTCCCTTTGATTTAAGCTTAAATCTGATTGAATCAAGAGTATTTTTTCTTGTCAATGTTTTCAAGAGTCTGGACTCTAGATCCAATGTGTTTTTTTTTTCCAGTGTACCTTTTAGAGTCCCGTATGTCTATTTTTACGATGCTTTTGATTTTTGTCGACGCCGCTAATGGAAGTTCCGCACTGTGCGGCGTGGAGCCGCGACGGAAAAAGCGCCTTCATTTCTGCGAACTGCAACCCTAACTACATTCTAAACGCAGGGTTTGTTCTTTGTTGACAGGTCAGCGGTGAAGAGGACGACGACTTACAAGGAGCAGATGGAGCTGATGTTGAATTCGTTGCACTCGATGGACTTGTCGAAGCGGGAGCTGGACATAGTGGCGATGGGCGAGGACATAGCGTCGATTTCCAACTCCATTTCAACGATCGGAAGGAGCCCAGCAGAGCCGAGGGCCAACGAAGATAGGAAGAACAACGAGGAGACGGAGAGGATCCTGTTGAGGGAGCTGAGCCAGCAGGGCGGTCACCTCATCAAGCCTCAGCAGCAGCAGCAGCAGCAGCAGCAGCAGCAACAACAGCAGCAGCAAGAGCAGATGCAGCAGCCCCGCGAGCGAGTATGGCATTCGGAAGGGCCGGTAGCTGCCGTTTCCGCCAATTCCGCCTCGCCGCCCGGCGACAGCTCGGTGACTAACTCAGTTCCTAACCTATCCTCGGATTTTAGGGAGTCCAGCAGCGCGCAGCAAACACAAAGGAGCTCCTCACTTAGCGTAAGTACCACTTGCTAATTCCTCGTTTTAAGCAGGAAGCAGGACATGAATCAGTGAGAACGAAAACACACCAACTTGAAAATACTCACTTTTCACTAAGGACAGACAATTTTCATAAAGATCATTGAACTTATACCGTATCTGTTCCAACTTGGACACTTAAAGTGTCCTTAAGTGCTTGCTTTTAGGCACCAAAAATCTTTTACGACTAACTTTTTTTCTTTTTTCTTTTTTTTCTTAGACTAACTTCTTCTCCTTTTATGCAGTTTTGTGTGTGTCTTGACGATTATTTTCATTTTTTCGAGTTGGTGTGTTTCCGTTCTCACTGATTCAAATATCGTCGCACCTTTGACGCACAGTGGATCGAGTCGATATGCTGAGAGGTCGGACAAAATCTGGCAACTTTGATACCTCATAGTATCGAAAGTATGAAGCAAGAGGGTTTCAAATAGCTCCGTTGGGTTTTTTATGAAATCTCCTTTTAAAAACACTCCTTAGAATTGATTTTATGACGAAATAAACATGAAAATTTGAAATATCAGCCAAAAATGTCTTGTCCAACCTCGTCTATATTAGCTCGTTCCACTGTGTGGCATAAGGACGTATCTTGATTTCCTCGTGAGACCTGTTCTCCGCATAATTCTATGCTTTCTGGGTCTCATGTGGAATTCGAGATACGCCCTTATGTCAGAGGAGCGACGATATCTAGGATTAGAAGTCGGGAAGTACCCAAGCACCTTACAGCATTTTTCAATAGAAAAATTGCGATATTCTGAAATGAGGTTGCGATGTTTTTATGTCTCTCTGGCGATAAAATCGATGGGATCACCAAGATTTAAGCGATTATTCTCGATCTTATCGCAATTTTATATCTAAAAAATCGCATTCAATAAAATTGAAATTCTATTTCAATTCATCACGATTTTTCGTTTGACAATATCGAGACGGAAATTCGACTTAGTTGCAAATTCATGACATGAAATCGCAATTTTTCATCCGATAGTATTGCAATAAATTGACGTCGATAATATCGCAATGCGTTCTCCGATCAAACAGCAACTTAACGATATCTCTGCTACTTTGCAATCGCATTTTGCAATCGTTCAAAATGCAAAACTTATGAGCCATTCTGTTTGCCTCCTGTCCTTGCTATGTCTGAAACTGTGATGGATACTGCAACATGTAGGTATCTCCGTAGAAATCCCCTTTAATTTTTTTTTTCATTTTTTCTTTTACAGAATGATCTCATCTCAACAACTAGCTCGACAAGCAAGAGGCCAACACATCCGCCACTTCAAATCGGTGTCCAGACACCATACTTTCTAGGAAAACAATTAATTCAGCCGAAAACAAGACACCAGCAAGATTCCGAATCAAGTAAAAATGCACTAACTCAAAACGAATCCTAAATTTACTTTTAAAATGCGCTCGCTGTGCCTTCTGAATGAATTGCCTTTGAAGATGAATTAGGTCCACATCCAAATCTCTCATCGAAGATTTGTTTGAACTCTCATATCTGAACGAACCTCTTTAAATCATGGATGTCATGCATTAAAATCAGTTGCTGATTCCCTGATGAGTTTTTTCGGTAGCAAGTCGGTGATCTCATTTTTTGCTACTGAAAAATTTTATTCAAATTGCATTCAAACTCCACGTGAGTTCTTCGCTATCCCTCCTAGCTCATATATTTTATTTATGTTCTCCTCAACATAAAACAGATTTTAGCCACAAAAGCTCATATTTTATGAATTGATACTCCTGGAATAAGAGGGCATTTGCATCCATAAGTTCTTTTACCGTGAAAATCGATTTCATCATTAGCTGACGAAAAACTAAAATATAAAAAACATAAACCGAAAATCGTCCGAATCGCTTCTTTTCCAATTTTATTTTTCGGACTTTTTGCCTCTTAGTGTAACAAACAACTGATAAAATTGCCTGAAAACTCATTTTTATAAATTCTTCTTCTTACCTCGATTTTTATTATTTTCGTCCTTTTATATCATGACACATCACATATGGTTTATTTATTGAACATCCCTAATTCATCTTCGTTAAAGGTTAAGCGCGTATTGAAGTGATAATTTATGTAAGAAATTTTAAGTATTGACTTTTGATCTTTTCTCCTAAAATGTAACTATTTATTAATTTATTTGATTTTTTCACTGTCTCCGTATTTTTAAACACATATTTATTTTGTTTTTTTCTCCTCGTGTTAGTCGTTTTGCACTTTATGCTCATTTTTTTCTACAGTCTCGTCAATGTTGTTTCAATCTTGGTTAACTTTCAATGTCCCCCCCCCCCCTTTTAAACATTTTTAAAGTTTTAATTTTCTTGGTACAATAGTGAAATTTTTACAATGGATAATGGAAATTGAGAATTATTATTCTAACACGCGCACTCACGTCATTGTAGACTCCATAAAGTGTTCGAAAATAAAAAGAGAGGGGCCTTCATTTTCGGAAGCAAATCAATTGAAAGATAAATTTTTGTGGGGCAAACTTGTTCGTACTCGATAATACCCAAGAATGTATGCGGTGTGAATACTCATGCAAAGATGAGAAAACTGTACCTGAATATTCCATAAATCTAAAATGACTTGAGCTATGTCACGCAGATTTAATACAACAAAAGGATGCATAATTTGTTTATGGTATTCGTATTTCAGATTTTTTTTTATTTTTAGAAAAATTAATTTCAAATCAAAACTTCCAATTTCATCCCATTTTTCTCCTTTTGGAAACTCTCTCACAACTACCTTAATTGCCAATATTCTTTTCTTGTGCGTTTTTCAAACTTGTGCAAAAGTAGCGACATCAGCCCTAGGAATGTGTTTGATGAAGGTCAACTGCGTGGCTTGTACACGGAAAAAATGGTATTGCTGATTTAACGATTTTGTAGTTAAAAAAAGTGTCCGACATGTTTCATTGTATATTTTACAGCAGAAAAAATGCACTATTGTATAATGCTCATTTGAAACATGTCAGACATATTTTTTTTTAACAATTTAATTGTTAAATCAGCAATCCATTTTTCCCGTGTGCAAGGATTTTCGTCGCAGGACGCCTAAAATAATGCTATTCCTTTAGTTTCTCGCTTATGGAGTCTGTTATTACGTGACAAGGGTACCCAAACTAATATCGTGTTGGCCCCCCACAAGTCCTTTTGGCCCCCTATTGAGTCCTTTGAGGCAGCCTTCTTTTCGGTCCCGGTGCGATTTAAGTAGCCTCGTTTGGCCTCTGTGCTTTCAAAATCAGAATACAAAATCAAAATCACTCCACATAAATGGTTAAATACCTGTCCATCGCACTAAAGCACTCACTTACAGATATTGTTGCCATAAAGCGTGTACCCACTATAGTAGGGATCCCATTTATTCTCTGAGAGCACGCTCATTCCTATAATCCTGAGTTATCGGTCGTTCTTCTTTTACAAATTGATATTCTTTTCATTCATCATCGGCTGCGATTACCACGCTAAACTTCATAGATGTAGTTATAGTATTCAAGTATAAATTACTAGAATTGTTATTTTGTCTTATCTTACCTCGTTCCTTTGTAATGAATTGATTATTTAAGGAAATCTCTGGATGTCCGCTTATCTGGAAAACAGATTTTCTGGTTTTTTCCTTTCATCTTTCGAAAGTGACTTTTTACATGTTAATTAGAAGATTACCATATTATTCCGTTTTTTTACAAGATGAATTTTACCGCCGAATTCAATGTTAGATATTTTAATTAACTCTATGTGCGTTTTATTTTACTCGTAGGCTTGTTTTATACATGTTTTAGATGTAAGACTTTTAATTAATTGGAGCCCCAACTCAAAGTAGCAGAGCCTATAAAAATAATCGCCTCATTAATATGAACGATTTGAATAATAAAATATTATAACATCGAATGGTTCCGTCAAAATATCTTTTTAAATAGTTGGATATTGGAATATGTAGCCTTTTATTTTTCGATTTTGTTATTTTTGTACAATATTTTTTTAATTCGTTGATAATTACTTTTTACATGGCCATCAAACATCAATATTTGTAAAATTCCTAGGTAGGCACATTGGCTGGGAACAAAATTCGTGATAAAATTTATTTTTATAGGTTCTGAGCGCATTTAAATGTGAATTTGTGATATGTATGAGGGAGTGAGAGTTTTTATTATAGAGTCCCGTATTTTTTAAAATTTAATTTTTTCTTAAGAATTTACTAGTATACTGGAATAAACAACACAACATAAAAAATAGGTAGGTAGATACTTTAACGGCGATCTATAACAAATATTAATAATGTAATGATTGAGATTTTAAAAGATTATTTTCAAGCATCATGCAAAATCTGCAGTAGCCTGTTAAAACTTTTGAGAACCTTTAAATTTCAGAAATCTATTTTCAATGTCTAATCAGTGGTGTAAATTGGATTGCATTTTGCAAAAAGGAACCAGAAGCATTACAATGTTGCTAAGATTGTGCAGCTTCTTTTGTCTTGGAAGAAAAACCTGATTATCCCTGAACAGTTTCTATTTTACTCGCTGAAAACTGTTAAATTAAGACAAAATTACCATGTGAATTTTTTATTTTTTCATAGTTTCAGTAATTTCATTGCAAATGATGAAAATGCACAATCTTAGCATCATTGCAATTCTTCTGGTTCCTTTTTGCAAAATGCAATCCAATTATTCATAGCATGTCTGATATTCGTAATCAAGCAGAATTAGTCCACGAATTAAACCATATTTCCGTAACAATGAGATAATTTTAATTTCGATAGCACGAGTATGGAACCACGTATCTTCTTTGCGCTGTTTCAAAATTTTCGCTTCTGTTTCATTTTTTCGAAGAAGAAAAACAAGCAAACTTTTGGTATAGCTTGGAATTTATGCAGAATATTCTGCTGATAGAGAAGAAAAATCTAATGTACTTCCCAGAAATTTCGTCGACTAGTCAAAATAAAGTTTGACAGGAGGTCTGAAACGCCGCAAACGGAGATAAGTGCGGGTTCGGATTTCGGCCATCGCTACGTTTGTGCTTATCTACCTTATTATATTCATGTTTAAAATTATTTTTCATATCATTTACAGAAGTGTGCGTGAAGGTAAAAATCACCACTTTTTAATTTTTGGATGTTAAACTTTTTCTCAAACCAATTGTCCTGAGTTTCAAAAATCGCATTTAACACGGTGAATTTTATTTCATCATTCGGGATACGACATGAAATCTGGTGCAAAAATTGTGATTTGGTCAAATAGTGCAGATTATGTATTGTTAGGTTACTTAAGTCTAATATAACATAAAACATATAGGTAGATGAGTGCTTACTTAATGACACGTCTTTGTATAAATAGCTTTAAGATTTTCATCGATTTTTCCCTCATATTCTCGTGTATTTTCCGGAGGAAATACACTATTGCATTATGTCACATTCGATGTTCCCTTGTCCGCGGATATTGAAGTAAGAGTGCTGTGCTGATTTTTGTAAGTTGGTGAGTCGATTTATTAGTTTTTTAGTTATGAAATCAACGTGATCTAAGATAAGAAATTTGATTTTATAAAAATTGTATGTCAAGTGAACGCTTACGTGCCTTTTATTGTTACTTTTTGAATAGGTACTGATTATATTGTAGCTTTTTCTGCCTTGGTTTTGACGGTGATTGTGTAAAAATTTCAAATTACCTGCTCCCTCTTTGCTTATTTTTGTGTCCAGTCAATTCAAAATATTAAGAACATCGTTGCAATGGACATGCATGGACATAGTCAGATACGCACTTACAACAGTCACAAAATACAACCACCTATTGTAGAATTTTTAATTTTTTTTTTAGATTTATTCGAAACATTAACTTTTGGAGGAAAATACTGAACCACTCAAAGCTGTTTTTCAGTGGGCGCGGTGAATTAATTGTATAAGCACAAGTATTTGTGGATTCACCTATAAAGGATACGAATCTGCGGCATGGATTAATGAAATCTATGTTTCTATGAAATTGAAACATGAAAGGACGCACTGACTCTCAATACTTCCATATACGTATAATAGTTAAAAACAAAAGAGACAAAGAAAATTTACAAAAACCATCTACAAAGTCTTTAAAAAAATAATCACGTATACCTAATACAAAATGTGTCAATCTAGTGCAGTGAGAATTGCACCGAATTTCTTGTTTCCTTATCTCATATGGGCAACTTTGTTACTGAGCAATCATGTCAGTGAGTATGTCTGTTGAGTTTACATTTATTATGTCGATACATCGATTAATTCGGCAGCTGGTCCAGCTATGTTCACGAATAGTACCTAATTAAACATTTTCGTCGCAGTCCATTTGCATGTCGAGAATGCTCGTGCCCCCGAAAAAAAATTGTAATTAATACTGGACATCGGCTCTATATTTTTACTTTTGCTTGTTGTTGTTTTTTTTTTCTCCTCTTGCGTGTCTTGCATGTAAGGTGATGGTTATGGTCAATTAGATACGTGTCATAGACCTCTAAAATAACCGACCTACTTACTGGACTCCTTTGAAGTGTTCTTTGTGCTTGTGTAATTTAAATGAATAAAATTGTTTTACAATTTGAGATACGTTTTATTATTCCAGACTTTCGAGCTACAAGTCGGTTCCCCGATTAATGAAAACTTTGGATGTCATGACACCCCTCACGTCATAGGGCAATAGAGAATTTTCAGGTGTCTGAAATTTGATGAATTTCGTGTTTAAGTGGAAGCTACTGAAAGATCTGACACGGGGATACCCTTGGTCCATTAATTGAACACAATTATTGGAGAAGATATGACAAAATGATCTATATCTGCTAAAATACATGTTTTCAAATGAGAAATGCCGCCAGATGACGTCTTTAGGCGGGGCATTTTCTCACTTTTAAATCTATTTTTATGCTTTTTCCCAGATCAGAAAAAATCATGAAAAATACTGTGAAATCAGCTCCTCAAACACTTTCAGATGAAGCAATAAAAAAATTGCATGCAAATTCTCCATTAGTCGATTCTCCTCAAGTAGGTTTCTTTTTTTTTTCTTTCTTTCTTTTTTTTTTTTTAAAAAAATTAGACGAGTTAGTATTAAAATTGTATGAAAATATTGCTTCCTCGTATATTTCTTGCGAAGAATCTCAATTATGTTTTGTCTCTACCTGTAAAAATAAATGTTTCAATAACAATACATGTAATATTAGTTGCGGAGAGGGGAGTGAATATACTTTTGTCAAAGGATTTGTACTTATTAAATTTGCGCAGGAGCAATTTGAAAAATAGGTTGCAATTTGAAAAATAGGTTAAGAAATTAAGAACTTGATAGCACAAAGTTTACGCAAAACTTTGGTCAAAGACACAAGCTTACGGTCAACTTTAAAGTAAAATTGTAAGTGAAGTGAGAATTAGAGGGGCTCCATTACACTGTATCGTCTCAAAGTTTCACCTGATAATTATTTTTCTGTTCTTTGAAGGGTAGACGTCTTACTTACGTAACACTGAGAAAATTCAAAACAGATAATTCCGAGGATTCAAAATCGTTTTTTCTAAAATTTTATCAGATGAAACTTTGCAATATCGCGATGAAATTCAGGTCCTTTGAGTCTTACCCCTACAATACAATTATGTATAGGTTAGGTTAGGTAGCGAGATAAAGGTACAAGGTTATATTTGCTTCCAACGTCTATGTAAAATAATGAATAGGTTTGCAAATTCTGACATAAAATTCTTATCGTTAAATTATGGAAAAAACTATTTCTGACAATGACCGAATTCATGGAGAAGTGGGGCGAACAAAGTTATCCAGAACTTTTTCGCTCATTAGCAAATGATCGACGAGCTATTTGCCCAAGAAAAACCAAGGTGAGTAATAATGATTGGGAAAATATGCATTTCAATAATTGATCTATACGACGTTTAAACGATGCTCTAGTGGTTGGCACTTTTCTTTCGAAGATGGAGAGATGGTAGATTCCGCAAAGCATAACGAGAGAGAAAATAAGCGCTGGCGGTGGATGGAGAACAAGTACGCGTATATTTGAATTTTAGGTATCGAGAAAAGGTTTGGAATTCAAATGTGATGAATTTTTTTTTTTTTTATCAAATCAGGAAGAAAATTCACGAACAATTTTAAAAGAGAACATGCAACTATTCTTGTGTTATACGTTTTCTATTGAAACTTTGCAACTTTGCAGTGTATTGAAGCTCCTCTGCATCTTACTCCCTCATATCTAAGCACAAACAGATATTAGAAAAAGGCACCTACTATAATGGCACGAGCACGACCGGGTGAAATTATAAAACTATGCAATTGAATGACGCGTTTTTTTTTTNTTTTTTTTTTTTTTTTTTTTTTTTTTTTTTTTTTTTTTTTTTTTTTTTTTTTCTCCAGTTTTATCCTTAGTGAGTTCTTTTAGCCTCTTGAACATCATTGGAACTACATTTTGCAGTGAGGGACTAATATTTTTGGCTCATCTATATAATCATTTATCAGCGTAGGGAAACCATGGCGCATACAGGGTGATCCAAAAATCACGCACCAATCCTATGAAGGGGTCTTGCCCCTTTGCAGGGCGGTACCTACAGAGATGATGCCCGCACCGTTAAAAATTTTGGTGTGAAATTCTGTGGTGGCTTCTACGTAACGCCCAAAAAACCCGAAGATACGAATGCAGAGCAGAATTTGCGCTCCTAGCGAAGTGACTTGCACTATTACGGAGCAAAATCTACTCTTTTTGCGGAGTGTCGTATATGCTTTTATGGTGCTAATTTCACTTCGCAATCATATCACTCGGGCTTTTTGGGCGCTATGAAGACTCCGGCTCCGAATTTCACTCCTCGATTTCTAACAGTTTAAGTAGTCAAGCTCACCAGGTCGTGCGGTAAAATGTGCATAGTTTACATGGGCCTAAATGGGGGAAAGTGCAGATTTTCCAGCACTACCTGGCAAAAATGAGTGTGGCACTAGCGCGAGGGACTTTTAGATCATCCTATTTGTTGATCCTTAAATGAGTCGAAAATAGTAGTTCCTTAATGCGAAATGTAGTCCATTTTCCTCCGGCAAAATGCGCAGAGACGAGAACCTGGAAAAAGCACACTTGTAAGATTACAGAGAGGAGGAAATGGATTAGTACCTTCAAACACTCGAGGGAAATTGAAAATAGCTAATTAATTTGATAAGTAGGATGCAATGGAGAAAAAACATAGGTACCAGCTGTCCGTTGCGGTCGTCTATACTTTGATGGATGCGCCAACAGTGTTTACAGATACGATAGTCTTTTAATCAATCATTCTGACCTACTTTTTGACTCCCACGTGTAGATCTCAAAGCTACTTTAACTTACCGACATTAGTTAATTTATCATATTTTTTTTCTTTCTAAAATCCTCATTCAGTTGGAGGTTTATGGAGCCGTCCCTGCAACTTCCACGGTGAAACAAACCTTCATTTATCGACAATGTAAGTCCGCAACCTCGTATCTCAATCTTCGCTCCTACTTTATTTTTTTAACCGAGAACAAATCCACACCATTCTTTGAAGTTTTAGCAGAATTGCCTCCATGCAGAGAAGAAACATCACGGCAGTTTTAAAAAATTGCCGTTGGGTAGTTTTGTATTTCAAAAATAAAGTTTGATAGAAAGTCTGCAATGTCGGAAACTGCGGTACGCGCGCGGTTGCGGACTTACACCATCGCCTTGTACATTTATGAAGCATAACGGCCCCGCTAATGGCACAACTTCGCAACGCTGCTATAAACGAAAGATAGTAAATAATTATTAGGATGTGATTTTTTACTTATTTCCAAGTAAACTAAATGAGGAGACTCAGGAGGAGGTTAAGTAAGTATATACCGATAAAGTTCGGCGAGTGATTGTCCATAAACAGTCTCCAATTTCATGTATGTATTATTTATTAAATTACTTCTTCCTTTTTCTATAAATTTGATTGGAAAAACGGAAAAACGCAGTATGAACATTNAATAAAACGTGAAAATACCCCAAAATTCCCCGAAAAATGGGTTTTTCGGGGCTGGAGGGGGGGTGGTTGGGGTCAGGAGGTTAAAATTGCCCAAAACCATGTTTTTAGGACCTCCTGAAGGGGTTTAGACCATTAAATTCAAAATCCGTGAGGAGGGGCATTTTGGTGCCCTTATCCTGGGATACCCTTTGATTGGAAAAACGGAAAAACGCAGTATGAACATTCAAGTGTCGTCAAATTTAATCGGATGAAAAATATATTTTTGAGGAATGTAAGAATGTTCAGCATGTTTTCCCTTGAAATTTTCAAATAATTTAGATTAAATTGAGTACAAAATTGTCCGAAAATTTAGAGGAAAAATATTCAAATATTCTCTTAAAAATTCGTATATTATCTAAATGAATATGGAAACGCCTGAAAGTTTAAACGGCGTTTTTCCTTAGCACGGTGGAATAGGTATGCGTGATGTGGTATCACACAAAAAGGAAGGAAAATCAAGCCGGAGAGCATTCAGTTCTTTTTCCCCTCTTGGATTAACAAAATGTGCCTCTCATTCGTTGCACTAGGCTAGGCGATTTCAGAATTTAATCAAATTTCAAAGATAAAAAAAAACATTCCAGGGTGTCGACTAAAGCTGGCTGGCAAAAATTAAGCACTTTTACAGTACTTTTTTGGTGCTTTTCAAAAAATTCGGTACCTCATAAGTATTATAAATCATTACTTTTTCGAAACGTTTAAGGTGATTGTTGATTTGAGTTTCTATTATTTAGCTGAAGTTAAAACCGCTTGATTAATTCACATTCTTCTATAAAATTATCCATTTGCTAAACAATCTTAGCGTAAGCACACTAAAACTATGCGATCAAAATTGCAACAGAACCAAAAGGAAACTCGACAAGGCCACCGTGGATGGCTACCTCGGTAAAAATCATCCATCACATTGCTAAGGCGCAGTGATACAACTACTCGTACTCTAAGGAACGCGTGAAGAATCACGCCACAATTGAAGGCGTTTTCAAAACGTTATCGGTTCAATACTATACATCAGGATTCTCGTGTTGCATAAAATTCGGAGCATGAGATAAATGAAATTACTGATCAAATGAGCTTGTGCGGCAGATATGCACAAATCTCCTTGTTTTAATTTTGGGTTGTTAGCATTCGTTCCAGTTGGTATTGAGCCTGTATTTTTCTCATATGTTTTTTAGCTCCATTTAAGCTTTTTACACACATTTCTTCACTGTACATTCATGTATATTATTGTTGATATTAGTTCCTATGATATCGGTTGCTATAATTCTTACAGCGTATTTATTTTAAATTCTCCTACAAAAATAATTCATTTGCTAAATAGAATCCTAGCTTGAGAACACTAAAACTGTGCGTTCAAAACTGCAACGGAAAACCGACAAGTCTAGCGTGGAGGCTAGCTCAGTACTAAATATTCCATCGCATCATGCTAAGGCGCAGTGATACAACTATTCGTACTCTCCGGAACGCGCGAGGTATCACGCCACAATTGAAGGCGTTTTCAAAACGTTATCGTATCAAAACGATACATCGGGATTCTCGTTGCGCATTAAAAATTCGGAGAATGAGATAACTGAAATGACTCATTTCACGAGCTTGTGCGGCAGATATGCACGCATCTCCGTGTTTTAATTTAGAGTTGATAGCTTTTCTGCCAGCCTAAGGAAGAACGCCGTATGAACATTCGAGAGTTGCCAAATTTCCCTTGATGAAACATGAATTTTTGACGACATTTACGCACCTTTTATTTGAATTCTTCAGATATGTTTGATTAAATTGCGTACAAAATAGTCTGAAAATTTTGGGGGGAAATATTCACAATTTTCCTAGAAAATTCCGTTTTTATCGAAGGAAACTCGACAACGTCTGAAGGCTCATACGGCGTTCTTCCTTAGCATGGCAGATTTGTTCCGGTTGGTAATGAGCCTGTATTTTTCTCATATGTTTTTTAGCTCCATTTAAGCTTTTTACACACATTTCTTCACTGTACATTCATGTATATTATTGTTGATTTGAGTTCCTATGATTTAGGTAGCTATAATTCTTACAGTGTATTTATTTCAAATTCTCCTACAAAAATAATTCATTTGCTAAATAGAAATGCACGCATTTCCTTGTTTTAATTTAGGGTTGATAGGATTTGTTCCAGTTGGAAATGAGCCTTAATTTTTCTCATATGGGGTTTTGCTCTATTTCAGCTTTTCACACACATTTTTTCTGACTTATCAGGGTTCAATAAAATACTTTAAGAATTTTATGACCATTACTACTTCTATCTTGATTGTTGCTAGTCCCAGATATTTTTTCAGGTTTTTGGCTGCCTATTTCTTTGTATTATTAACCATTTTTGGACATTCTTTGCTTTTAAATATTTCTGGTTGTTTCCAAATACTTTCTAATGGGTCCAGATTTTTCAGCTATTTTTGCATTTTTATTATACGGCAAGAGCCACCACATTAAACCCACCCCCTCTCCTGACGATATCAGACGCCTTAAGACGTAGCCGATTGCTTCTGGAATTTATCTAAATATTAAATAAATAGGTATCACTAGCTGCTGACGTTTATGGGGAAAATAAATTAGGAAAAATGAAGGCTAATATTAAGAGTGGCTGAAAATGGAAAACACCTTGATTTATGTAAATTAAAGGATTTATTGTTCAAATTATTTAGAATTGGTTGAAGACCATATAAAAAGAGATTTCATAAAAGCGTTTTGTCATGTGATTCATGATTATTACATTATGGTCCTGAACAAATATTTCAAGCAGACAAAGTCCATTCACAAAGAAATATAAAGAGACATCTATAAACACAGGAAAAATTGTCTAATTTGCAAAAATATGAAATTTGAGGGTTTCAAAAACCGGAGAAAGATATATTAAGCAAATTTTCTTGCTTTTTAAACTCTAGTTGCACAAACAACTGTGTGAAGTTGTGTCAAAAATTGAATGAAATTGGGTAAAGATGAGGAGAGAGAGAGAAAGAGGCAAAAACCTCATTCTCTTATGTTATCATGGGGGGTTTTTATGCGTTTATTGGTTCCATTTGTTCTATTTCTTAACTTGATGAATTAGGCTCCAGGATTGGATGACAATTTACTGTCAAGGGATGTTAATGGCATTCTTATCTCTAAAGCAGAGCAAGATGCGCCCTACAAACAGATTTAATACACTTTCTTCATAAGAAGAAAGCTAGACTTAAAAAAATATCATGTGAAGAAAAACCAAAGAGACAGAAAAGACATTGGTTTTTCTTTCTTCATGACTTGTTCTCAGTCGAATAACTTCGAAGAAAGACCTTTAGGAATCAAAAGATTTAATCATTTGTTTTTCATTCATTATTATTTATAAAAACATATCACTCTACCTCCATTTTAACAGCCTTTGTTTCATTTTGTTTACCTTTATTGTCTTTTTTTGGCCCCTTATTCATAACTTTTTTCTTCGGTGTTTTAATTTTCTGCACACTGCCTTTCTTACCGACTGATTTATTGCTTTTAGAGTTCTGATTTGATTTCTTGCCTTTTTTTGTTGATGGCTTAAGTATTCCATCACGTGCACGGGCAAGTTTCTGCCTTTCAGTCCTGCGCAAACGTTTCCTTTGACTTTTTGTCAGATGACTTCTGTCAACAACTTTCTTGCTAGGTTTCTTCGTCTCCTCTTCTTTCTTCACTTGAGTGGCTGCTACGGCTGCTTTCTGAAGTCCTGCAGTCTGACAATGTTTCTTAAAAGCCTTTTTCAGCATCATGAACAAATCACCAATGGATGCTCCGTGTTTTTCTTTGTCTATCTTTAAACAGCTTCCCACGAAAGTCTGTAACGGAGAATTCCTTTGGATTAGACAATTGGTAAATACTACATTGTTCTGCTTGAAAAAACAAGGAGTAATTGTGCATCTTTTATGAAACTAGGGAAAGGTTGGGTTATAAGAGACCTAGATAACAGAATACTTGGTTTACATATGACTACTCTCTGTTGTAAAAGAAAGATACTCGCAAATGGACTAAATTTTGCAACTGGGTCTAAAATTCTTTTTGTTTTCTAATCTACTACTCCTTCACTTCAGAAACAACCTATGCTTCATTAGTTTCCCTGTGTGGATAGGCACTATCGCACTAATAGGCACTAAGTGGGTGAGTCCAAAATGGTAGTTCTTTATAGCAAAATAAAGACCAAATGTGGAATAAATCTCCATTCATTCAAGGTAACAATGAGTTATTGTGGTTTCTGGAGTCTATAATAATAACAAATCTTCATGAAAAATATTATTCCAACTAAATATATTTTACCTAGAAAGGGAATTCTTATTCTCTTGCTTGTTTTAGACTAGAGGTTACAGTAGTTACATGCTTATAATTTTTTTTTCCCCCCCCCCCCCCCCCCC